TGGCGGGTTCAAATCCTGACCTGGGCAACCGCAGCCAAGTCACGTAACCTCCTGCCCGAATTTGCTCCCCTGCGAAATGAAGGGTGACGAAGCCACTGGGTTGCCCGAGTCCGTTCCTATGACTGTTGGGGCAGCGCCTGACACAAGGGAGATGTCTACCCCAGGGAGGGAGCTCAGCCCTCTGACATGGTGGAAGACGGAGCCCCGGGGGGGGGGGGTTAAATGACGGGCCCAAGGGGCCCAAGGTCACTGTCATAACAGCCTCCAAACTCTATGTCCCAAGTCCTCAACCCTAGAACGTCTGCATGTGACCTTATCTGGAAAAGGGTCTTTGAGGCTGTAATTACGGCAAGGATCTTGAGACTCAGAGATTGCCAGAATACCCAGATGGGCCCCGCATCCAATGACAAATCCTTATAAGAGATCCAGGGAACAAGGACAGGGCAGCCGCCAGCCAAGAGATGCCCACTGGAAGCTGGAAAGGAAAAGGAACGGATTCTCCCTGAGAGCCCCCCATGGGAGCACAGCCCTGCCGACACCTAGATTTTGGCCTCTAGCCTCAAGAACTGTGACAGGATACATCACTGGCCGTCTATTACGGCAGCCCCAGGAGCTTGAACAGTGACCCAGCCCGCAGCGTCAGAGCAGACTTGTGACTCCACTTACCACTCGGGACCTATTGGTGGCATCCCTCTGCGAATAAAATAAGAGCTTCAATCCCAGATAACTCGAGGAGTCTGGAAGCCGCTTCTGTGAGCCTTCTTTACAGATGGGAACACGGAGACCCCGCTGTCTACTTGCCCATGCCACACAGCCATCAACAAGGAGGGAGGCGAGGCTGGAACATGTGAGCCCTGCTGTCTCCTTCGGGGCACACCGGCTCATTAGATTTACCAGCCCCTGCCTGAAAAAGTATTTAATTTGCCTTTTACAATGCACCGATTGCAAGTTAATTAACGGGCAATTGAAAGTTATAGGTGACATTAGAATTTATTAATAACATTGGAAATAAATCTCCGTGGAATTCAAGTAATTGAAAGTCTCGTGAAATTCTCTTTTTTATCATCCATAAAACAGGTCTAGGAGGGAGGTGTTCCAGAAACCTCAGGGGGTGGTTGGGATTGCAGGTGTGGGATAATTGGGTGGGAGGGGGCTGCTGTTCTGACCTGGGCCCATGTTGGATGCTCACCTGCCCCCTGTGCACCACCTGGGTCACTGCCTTCTAGGGTCTGGGAAGGAGCCATTCTCCCTTTGGAAATGTGCTGTGACTCACGGCAGTGATCCGAGCAGGGCACTGGGGGCACAAATGCGGCTCGCTCACAAGAGGTCATAAGCCTAGTGGGGAAGACAGAGCCGCTAGGGCTGGGGCCCAGGGCCTGAGTCAAGCAGTTCCTACCCATCTGTGCCCATGGTGCGCCTATGCTAATGTTCCCTCATTAACCCCTGGGTGGCCTGCAGGGGTGGGAGCTCCCTTCTCTCCCACTCCTCCTGCCCTGGGCTGATGCTCTGGAGGCCCTCCCCCAGGGGGTTGCGGGGAGAAGGGGACAGCCACAGGGCCTGGAGGCCCTGCAATGGCACCCTGGCAGGGGGCTCTGGGTGGACTGCTTCTCCATTCTGAGTCACCACTAGTACCTGTAAGTAGAGTGTGGAGGCGCAGGTGGGAGTTTCCCCCCACAGCACAAAGACACGCAGGACACCAGACAGAAGTGAAGGCCGGAGAGGCCCAACTGGTCTCGCTGGGCTGCAGGAATCAGAGCAGGGAATGCGTCTGAAGCTGAGAGCCCTGCTGCCCCTGGGGCTCTAAGCGCCAGGCGACGCCCCCTCCAACCTGCCCTCTTCCCCCCACCAATCCCGCAAGCACCCGGGGGGCCCCCCACGTGGCTGGGGAGCCAGCACCCCCAGGCCAGACAAAGAAGAGGCCAGCCAAGGAGAGACGCTACCGCCCCATGCTGGGCTGGTGCCGCCATCGTCAGGGGGGATGGGACCCTGGTGACAGGGCCAAGTTCCAGAGCCCAGGCTGGGGGCAGGGAACAGGGCAGCTCCTGCAGATTCCTGCGCAAGGAGGCTGCGCAGGCAGGCTTGCGTTTCAGTAAGAGCGTTTTCTGGGCCAGATGGAAGGAAGGGGCACACTGACCTCGAGAACCAGTTGTGACAGCCGGTCCCCTGTGGGCCAGCGTCCTTCCTCCAGCACTTGAGGTCCTCCAAGATCTGGCATATGGCAGCCGCTTCCGTCTTCCAGTGAGCGTTCCTTCTGTCGTCCCCCACCCACCCAACCACGAATCTTGTCCGGCCCCGGCCCTTCCTCACACTTGCCCCTCCTGGCAGTGCCCTGCTTCAGTCTCCCGGTTAATGGGCACGCCCCTCTGCCCTCCGGAACCACGGCAGCCTCGAGCCCGGCCTCCCCAAGTCTCAGGCCTGTCCTGAAACTCTGCTTCACTACCAAGCGCTGTGTGACCTCGAGCGAGCCGCCCCACTTCTCGGGGACGTCGCGGACGCTCCACAAAATGGGAAAGGTGGCTCCGACGCTGAAGGCAGGTGACATACGCCGCATGTCTGGCGTAGTGCCGGGCCTCATCTTTAAGAAGGACCAGCCTGGGACCACCAACCCCGGGAAACGCCGTCCCGAAGCCTCGACGCCATCCAACACACTTCACACTCGTCGCGCTCACCCTCCGCCTCCCACCGGAAGCTGCTTCCCTCCCGCACTTCCGCTTCCGGCGGCCCGGGCGCTCCTGGGCATCCGGTCCCGCCCCCCGCGCTGGGGGCTGGCTGCCCACTCTGCCTTCTATGGCTGCAGGGTCCCGGGCCGGGGTGCAGACGAAGTCTTTCCGTGCATCTAAATACTGAAAAGTTACACGTTGAGTTAACCCACTTAAATAAAAGGCGCTCTGTGCTCGCACTTTGAAGATATCCTTTACAAGGCCTGGGAAGGCCCGGTTGACTCCGGGATTCTGACCTCCCAAGGCTGTGCTCTGGAACGGGGCGGCCCCGGGGAGAGCCAGCCCCTCGTCCTCGGAAGCCCCACCTCCCTGCTCGCGGCCGTCCTGCACCCAGAGGCCTCGGGCGCACGTGCGGACAAAGCGACAGCCCCTGGTCGAAGAACGCAGGTGTCGGCGGGGAAGCGGTCCTCCCTTGAGGCGTGGTTAGGGAGAGGCCCACACGGAGCCTAAGCTGACGGCCCCGGAGCAGCACTTTTCAGTGTCCCGGGCAAAGCGGGCAAAGCAGACACTCTCGTGAGGCTGGTCCTCCACAGGTCTGGGAGAAGGAGATGCCTTCTGCCCAGCCTCCCTGAAGAGTGGATACCCCGGCTTGTCATTCAGTCCCATGGGGACCCTGGAGGCTGCCCTGTACCCTGGCTGAGGCTTCACCTAACACAGGGGGTTGCTCGGGGCCAGGGGTGAGGGGTCGTGAGCTGAGAGGGTGGCCTATAGAAAGAGAAAGGGGCTCAGCCCTCCAGGGGAGGCAGCCCTCACGGCCAGGCCTGGCCCAGCCTCCTGCACTTGTGTGTACGCTCTGGGCACAACGGCACCTTGTACAAGGGGTCCCTGATGACCTGCCCCCACTCCAAGCCTTTGCTGAGGCTATTTGTTCCCCCTGCCTCCACTGCCCTTCCCCATCTAGCCAACTCCCACTGACCCCCGAAGACCCTTTTCCCCTCCGTGGCTCCTCCCCGGACCCCTGACAGATTAGCCGCCCCCTCCATCGTGTTGCTGTAGCGTGCAGCCGTGTCCCATGCTGTGTGTGCGGCACTGTCCTCACATCCGACCACCCCATCCCTAGATGTGACTCTTTCAGAGCCGACCTCCCTCCGCACCTGCGTCTTTGTGGCCAGGAGCCAGGATGGCCAGGCCTCCCTGCCAGCCACCACCACAGGACACCAGAGCCCCAGTGGGGAGAGCACCTTTATTGTCAGAGCATTCTAGACTTCCCACCGGCCTCTGACTGCCGCCCCTCGGCCCCCAGGCCAGTCCTGCCTCACACAGGGCAGGGGGAGCTTACCGGGGCCTGGCCACAACCTCCCAAGAGCCCCAAGGACACTGGGGACAGATGGCTCCAGTCCTGAGGGGAGACATGACCTGGGGTGGCACCAAAACCTCCGAGCCTGCTACTGAGACTGGGTCCTGGCCCAGTAAGAGAGGAGCACCAGGGCCAGGCCGGGTCACAGGGGAGCCCATGGCCCAAGAGGCCTGTGGTCTGAGCTGCTCTGGGATCCCCGGGCCCGGGTGTCTGCTGTGGAGTCTGCCTGGGCCCACAGCCCTGAGGGGACAGCATCTTTCCAACGGGGCCTGGGACTCGGGCAGCTTTCTTGTCTCTAGCTGGTCAAGGGGACGTGGGACTTGCCGTGTGACCCAGAAATAGCCAGCCCTAGAGATTCTCAGACAGGGCAGAGCTACCAGCGATGGCCTCCTCGGGGCGCACCGGCCCAGTAACTACTTCCTCCTCTCGACTCATGGGCAGGAGGGCCCTGCTGGGCTGGCTGGGTCCAGAGGCCAGGAGGCAGCGGTGGGCAATGCCCGTTTGGTAGGAAGGCCCCTGCCACCCCAGTGCTCCTCTCTCAATATCCCCAAGTCCTGGGTTTATTCAGGGTGTCCCTGGCGCTGCCAGACCCTGCAGCAGACCCCAAGCCCGGGGACAGGGATTGAGGAAGAAGACCCAGGACCGTGCCTTCCTTCCCTGCTGGCTGGTCCAGCCTCTCCCACAGCCCTGTGCCCAGCCTGAGTTTCTCTGCAAAGACAGGAAGCTGGCAGGTAGAGCGTTAAGGATCCAGGAGGCCTGGGTTCAAATCCTGTCCCAGCTGTCCCTGGTCCCGTGGCCTCGGCAGGTTATTCATACTCTCTAGGCCTCCATCCTCCCAGGGAAAGTGGGGATATCAAGCCTACCTCCTAAGGGTTAAATGAGACAATGCAGGGAAAGCTCCTTGGACAGGCCCAGACTCAGTAAATGATGAGTATTAGGGTTATTCTCGTGCCCCACCCAGCCCCCCCAGACCCCGTCTCCTGCAGAAGGTGAGGGTGGGGAGGGCAGGGACCAGGAAAGGGCCCTGCCAAGAGTGCTGGGGCCCTCTGGACCCTGCCTCTGGAGCTGCCATCTGTCCCCAAGCACCCCCCAGACCCCAGGAGCCAGTGTCTCTTGCGATCATCCGTGCCTGGAGTGCAGGCCCCCTTGGTGGGTCTTCAGGAGCCAGCAGGGCCACAGGGGCCTCAGGGCCGGGTCTCCGGCGGGGCTGGGGCTTGTCCTGGAGAGCTGGCCTCTTACTTGCCACCGCTGGCCCGGCCGGCGCTCCTCTGCCCAGGGTCAGGGCTGAGCAGGGCAGCGAGGGCGCTGTCGGGCGGGGAGCCGCCCCGCTTCATCTTCAGGCTGGCTCTGAGGGCAGCATCTTGGCCAGAACCCCCCTCGGGGGAGGCCAGGGGATCTGGAAGGACAGTAGGCGGGCCGGCTCACGCAGGGCCTCGGAAGCCCTCAAAGGCCCCCTTTGCTTCAGGCGCCCCAACGGCGAGGGAAGCCCAGTGCCCAGCGAGGACAGGGCAAGTCCGCGGAAGGCTCCCTGGGCACGTGGGCACCTGTCACTCATGCGTTTGCCCGCTCACCCGGCAACCAGTGCTGACCTGGCAACCGGTGTGGACCCCGCCCGGGCTCCCCGCCCTGCATGCCAGGGAGAGACGCGGAAAGCCCACCCCCATCAGGGAGCACAAGGCTCTGAAGAGCACCGTGGGGTGAGAGGAGGGTGCCTTCTGGGGGAGAGACCCTAGAGCAGGTCCTGAAGTGGGAGCTGGTGGTCAGTGGGCAGAGGAACTGGCCTGAGCAAAGGCGTGGAGGCAGGGGGCGGGAGGGAGGTCCTGAGAGAACTATGTGGTGGCTCCAAGTCACTGGGCACCCGGCCATGCTGGGCAGGGGCTTGGGACCTAATGTGCCTGGACATCAGTCACGGGCAGTAGGGGGCCACGGAGGGTCCTTGAGCAGGGGAGGCACAGGGTAGGGTCCGCCTGGGGTTTGGAGAAGACCGACTGGCAGCCAAATGGAGGTCATCGAGTCAGGCAGACCAGAGGCAGGGGCAGCTGCCCTGAGGGCAGCAAGGGGGTGTGGAGGCCGGGGCAGAGGGGATTCCCAACTCCACGGCCAGCGGCAGGTCCGGCTGGCTCCAGGCCCTGGTCACCACTCACCATGGATCCCAATCATGTGTTCCAGGATGAGGACTCTCTCCGCCAGGATCTTCAGGGCCTCCCGCAGCTGCTGCACCCCCTCACCCTGAGGGGTGGGGGAGGAAGCGGCCAGGGTCAGGGCCGGCCACAGAGAGGGGCCACGTCCTCTCAGCCCTCCCTATTCCTGACTCTGTCCCTTTGTCCCCATCCTCTAAGTAACACAGCCATGCCACGTTGGATACCCACATGGCAGGCCTGGGGTCTGAAGCCTTGTTTGCAGACAAGAAAGCTGCAGCACAGAGAGGGTAACCAGGGTCCTGGGGCCACACAGCCTGGCTTCACACGCAGACCTGTCCCCCGCACGTCACGGTTTTTCCTGCTCCCATGGCTGCCTGGCTGCTTCCCCTGGGCAGAGCCCTGCTTTCTGGAAAATACCCTACCAAGGGCAGAGGCCCTAGCACAGGTGGGGGCATTTTGCTGGTCTCCTGAGAGCTCTCCAGGTGTGGCCACTCCCGAAAAAGAGACTAAAGGGAGAGCCACCGTCTCTAGAGCGTTGGCACAAGTGCACCATTATGAGGGTCTGACCCACACATGGGCAGAGGACCTGGTGCACCGAGACCCATCAAGGAGCTGGTTTATTGAGAAGACAGATGTCAAGGCCACTTGAAAAGGGACGTGATGGTAAGGGACTCGGGCCCCGCCCTGAAGTCAGTCCCAGAACAGGCCTCTTGCAGGCATAACACGACGGCTCACGACAGCTCTATCCTGATGTTCAGATCGATCTAGTTTGAAATAACACAAAAGGATGGGCCCCCTGGGTGGCTCCAACGGTGAAGCGTCTGACTCTTGATCTCAGATCAGGTCTTGATCTCAGGGTCGTGAGTTCAAGTCCTGAGATGGGCTCCACACTAGGGATGGAACCCACTTTAAAAAAAGCAAAATAAAAAAAAGAAAGCAAAAAGTGTCCTCTAGGTTAAGGAGAGAGGTCTTCCCCCCAGGGAAGCAAAGGCCACAAGAAGCTACACTGGGGGTAGTGTCAGGGATGGGGGTCCAGAGCCCCAGCCCAGCCCCAAGCCCCTGAGCCCCGGCAAAGAGTGACATCCTAAGCACTGTGTCTGTCTCACTTTGCAAGTCTGCGAATCTCCCTGCGACTCTGGGCCCATGCCTGTAGCACATCTTTCTCCTGCTGCCTCCTGTGCCCACCATAGCTGCTCTGGCTCCAGCCTCCCCACTCCATCCCAGCCCACCTCCCCATTCACCCCCAGGGTGGCTCATCAGAGAACCCTAGATGCCCACTGTGGCTGGCCACTCCCTGAGCTCTGACACACCCTGGGGATTCTTGCTGTCAGCCTGCAAGTTCTCCTCTGCCAGCCCCACTGCCCTCACCCCCTTTACCCATCACCCAAGTCTCCAGCATCCCTCCTCCTCCCAGAAGACAGCAGGTCCCCACGGCCATGCCCGTATTCCATCTGTGTCCCTTCCCCACCCCACTGTGCCCCTGCCTGCTCCCATCCTCACTCCCTGCCCCCCCATTCCCTCCCACATCCACCAGCCCTCGGTCTACGTCCCCACGTGTCCTTCAGTCCACCAGCGCAGTGACGCTGGGGGCACTGCCACGGACCAGGCACCGCGCATGGGGGATTCCTGTCCCTGGAGAGGGACTTGGCAGCTGTAGCCTCCTTAAATAAGGGGTTCTCCCCAGCAGTGTCTCCCCTCTCCTCCAGCCCCGGGCCAGTTCCCTATCTGCACGCTAAGCTGCAATCATTATGTCACTCACCAGCCTCCCCCACCGGGCAGGGACCCCCCCTTCACCCCGTGGCCTGGCGCCCTATGTGAGGCTGAGGGGTGTCAGCGCAGACCTGCCGGGCACCCGCCCTCCCACTGGGACGCAGCCAAGGGGGCAGGAGGGGAGCTTGGCCCCCAGAACCAGTTACCTCTGCAGCAGCTTTGTCCTCTTCGTGCCCCTTCCCGCCAGGCTCGCCCTAGGAAGAAAACCCCGCAGTCAAAAATCTGTGTGTGTGGGGGGGTAGTGGGGGCACCTCTCTACCCGCCCCAGCTTCTCGCACAGATCGCGGGCGCTGGAGGGTGTGAGGGCAGGCTGGGCAGGCAGAGCCTGGGGACAGGGGTGCTGGGGCCCAGAGCTGGACAGCTGCCTCCACGGGCACCGCTGCCCTGGGGTAGGCAGAGCAGGGGAGCGCCCGAGGCCCCAGGCATCCGTGCATGGCCCCACGTGGGTTGGTTTGGGGGCTTCACTGTTCTGCAGGCTTGACACCCCACAAGCTCAGGTCTCAGCTCGGCCAGGGATCAAGTCCCTGTTTCTCTCCGCTTCCACCTCTAAAACGAGGCCAGCAATACCGGCCGCACACTAACCCCCACATTGTATGCAGTGTGACCTTCAGCAGGTTACCTGACCTCTCTGTGCCTCTGTGCTCTCCTCTCTAAAATGGGGTAACACCGCCTACCTCCCGGGAGGATTCAGACTAAATAAATCAATACTTACAATGAGCTCTGACAGGAGCCTGGTGCCCGAAATTCTGGGGCAGGACTCAGCATTGTTACCAGACAGAAGCCAGGACGTGGCATGGCTTTGGAGGCTAACACTGCTGGGTTTACTTGGCTCCATCATTGCCTTGCTGTGTGACCTCGGGCAAGTCACTTAACCTCTCTGAGCCTTAGCTGCGAGTTCTCAAAAAAATGGGGAAAATAAAGTCCTGGCTTGCTGGGTCATAACTAAGCTTAAACTCACTGTGGGCGAAAAGCACAGCCCCTCCCAGCACACGGGAGGTGCTCGGCAAAGCTCCGTCCCTCCTCCCAGGCTCTCTGCCCCTAACTTAGACCTGGGCATCGAGGAGGTGCCTGCCTCCTTGTCCCTGCAGGCAGGAGTGGGGACATATAAATTCTTACTTCCAAGGAGGAAATTTGAGGCCAGCTATCTGGGCCTCTACTTCTGGGAGGTTCAGAGGAGGGAGGGCCTCCGCAGGCCACATAGCATGCTAACTCGAGGGTCTGGGCTCCCCAGAAGAGACCTGAGGACATGCATCCAATCCCCTACCAGGAGGCTAATTTAGTCATTGCTCACACTCCCAGTAAGGGGCTCCCCACTTTCCAAGGGCACCCCTTTACCAGCTCGGGCAGGTGGGATCACAGGAAGGCTGCCCCTTCTCTGGGCAGGGTAGAATCAGGCCACGTTAGGGGTGGCTGTGGGGCTGAGCCCAGGCCAGGCCGGGACAGAGCTCCCGCCCCACCTCTCCGGTGCCCTGGGCCTGCACCAAAGCTCACCACCCTGGGAACACCCCGGCGGCACAGTCCCCCACTTACAGCCGGTCCCATCATGCCCCGCTCTCCGGCCAGGCCCTGCAGAAAGGCAGAGAAAGCAGATGAGGCCTTGCCTGCCCCACTAATGCCTCTGTCTCCCCCTCAGCTGCCCCGCCCCAGGACGGGAGGAGGACAGAGTGGAGGAGATGGGACGGCGCCTCCTGGGCCACCCTCCACTAGCTCCTCCCTGAGCTTGGGCAGGGCCTTCAGTCTTCTCAGCTGAGAAATAGGCCATTACGGTTGTCACACAGAGCCTGCACAGATGGCAAAGCCCGCAGGCTCCCCCCCCCACAAAGGGCCCCCCCAGAGAATGAATGATGGGGGTCCCACTCAAGGCCTCCCATCCATGCTGAAATCTAGCTGGAAGGCTCCCCAGAGCCCAGACCCACGTGTCCAGCCACCGTCCCACTTTCCCACCTGCCCACAGGGGGACGCCCCACTCCACTTCCCCTGAGAACCCTGGGTATCCCCAAACCTTCCGTATTCTGCAGCCACCTCCTGGGAGATAGCTCCCTGTCCTCCCAGAGGCTCCCACACACGCCTGGGAGATAACCTTCCTTTCCTTCTCTTGCCAAATCTGTTCCATCCGCCAGACCCATCACACCCACTTTCTAAACCTGTCCCTTCCCTTTGTGGCTTCCCGTACAACCACCTGAATGTAAGTCACCTTCTCTCTCTCCCCCTCACGCTTCCTTGGTCTCCCTGCCCCACTGCTCCCCCACCTTCAGCCTTCCGTTCTCCCACAGCAGCCCCAGCCCGAGCGTGAGGGGCCTCTTAAAGATGGAAATCAGATCATGGGCTCTCCTTCCAGGAGACTCAGAGTCCCCTTTCCCTGTGACAGAAAACCACACTCTGCCCCTCCGGTCAGACCCTGCCCCCACCTCATCTCACATCTCATTCTCCTTCCCTCAGTCTGTCCTGAGCTTTCTTCTACCCCAGGGCCTTTGCACTCGCTCTTCTGGCTGCCAGGATTGTCCTTTCTTGGCATCTTTGCACAGCTGCTCCTTCTGGTTCGTTAGGCCCCAGCTGAAGTGTCACTTCTGCATGTTTGTCATGCCCTGCGTCCCTTCCCTCTCCCGCAAGGGCACAAGACCCTGATAAGAGACCTCCTGACAGGATAAGGCGATCCCCAAGCACCCACCACATTCTTGGTGAGGGCTGGAGAAAGCCTGAGAGGGGCCCCACCCCTGCTGTTCTCCTGCTGTGTGACTCTGGACAGGTGACTGAGCCCCTCTGAGCCCCCCTTCCCCATCACGGCTGGGATACCATGATAACATTATCTCGGAAAGCCGCTGGCACAAACAGGTGGGGAACGGTTCTGAATCTCATCGTTCCCAACTCTCCCTGTGCCTGTGGCCTGGGGCAGCTGAAGGCATCTGGTGACAACATGTGGGTGACTCTTGGTGACAAGGGCTACAGGTTGGGGTGGACATTCTGTGATCTGTATGTCCTCTGGAGGCACCTGGCCTCTCTGGGTCTCAGTGAGCTCATCTCTGAGATGGGAAGGGTGCCCACGCCTCCCTGGGATGGCGGTGGGTAGCACAGGGCTGAAGCTGCTGATGAGATCCGGGTCCTGCCTGAGCCAAGTGGCCAAGGGGCCAGCTGGGCCGCCCCTTCCTGAGCAGCTCAGGCTGGGAAAGAAGGCTGGCTCTTCCTTCCCAGGGAGACAAGTCCTCCTCCCCTGCCAGAAATGGGGAAGCCCTTACCTGTGATCCAGGGACACCTGGGGGTCCTGGGGGACCGTGTGGTCCAGGGGGACCTGTGGACAGAGTCACAGATGATCACCTGGAGCCAGCCCCCTGCCTGCCCTATCTTGCAACCCACTCTTCCCCCAGAGCCTCATCCGTGGGGCCACCCTGCGCTGCCCCCCCCCCAGCCAGCCAGTCTCCCAGCAAATCTCTCTCAGGGTTGTCCCTTGTCCGGGGGGGACCCTCCTGGGTCCCTACCCCTCCAAGGCTATCCTTCTTGCCTGAGCTACTACAACAGCGTCCTGACCATCCACGCTCGCGGCCACCCAAAGCCACCTTCAGTTAGGGCCCTTCCGGGGCTCCTGAAGCTCTCAGCAGGGCCCCCTCCACCCGCATGCCCCCAGCTACCCTCCTGGAAAGCTCCTTGGCCTCTGCGCTTGTGCAAGGGCTGTTCCTTCCTTCTGGAGCTTCTCCATCCCCTCCACAGCCCAACTAATTCTTTCCTACTGGTCTCAGGCTGAGCATCACCTCCTCCAGGAAGCCTTCCAGCACTTACCCCACCCCTGCTCTAGTCTGGTCCCCTCACCTCTGTGGGGCATTCGCTCAAATGCTACCTTTTAAAAGAGGCCCGGAAACTAGAGCCCTGCGCCACATAGGGAGCAGTGACTACATGAAAGGGGTAAATGAATAATGGGGGGACAAGGCACCCACATACTTGGTGAGCAGGGCTGGCCCCTGCCCTGCACTCCCCTTCTCTCCCCTCCAGCAAGGGTCCCTGGAGGATGGGGATCAGGACAGGCCCAGGATCCAGCCCCTTAGAACCCCAGGGCCATCCCCTGCCCCAGGGCCCCTGGTTTCTGTCAAAAGGCCCCGCACCTGCCCTACCAGCCCCTGGGGCCAGCCCTGTGCTGACCCCGTGCCTCCGCCTGGACCTGGGCCTCCACGTACCCTGGCACAACCCCCACTCGGGCCCACAAGGGGGCAGCCCCGAGTGGCTTCATGCAGGCAGAAGGCAGAAACATTTGGGGCTCCTGTGTCTAGTCCCGCCAGGGTGCTGTCCCCCAGAAGCAAGGGACCTCGCCCAATCCCCTGTATCCAGCCAAGGCCATGGTTCTCCAACCAGCCCCACAAGGCCCCTTGGCCCAGGCCAAGCCCAGAGCAGGTGCCCCATGCAGACCAGGCTGTGCAGCTGCCCTCTGCACTTACCTGGAGGGCCAGGGGGGCCCCGGGGCCCCGGGACGCCAGCCAGCACTGTGTCCACGGCGGCCGAGGCCAGCTGTGAGTCTCCGTCTGCAGGCAGAGCAGTCGCCTGTGACCCGGTGGGCAAGGCCAGGTGCAGGACCTGAGCTTCCCCAGGGCCAGGACAGGCACCCCTGACTCCACTGGGCCTCACAGCAGCCCTGGCAAGCACACACTCTTGCTCCCGCAGAGCCCAGGTCGAAGGGCAGGGAAAGCCCAGAGGGGTTCATATAACGCACAAACTCCTTCCAGAGCATTCCAGCCCCTTCAGAGTCTGGCCCTGCCCTACTTACCTCCCCAGTTCCCCAGCCAGAACTCTCCTCCCCTTCCCCCCACTCCACTCTACAGGCCCTTTCTTGATGCACCTGACAGGCTCACTCCGGTGGGGCCTCCTCCTCCAGGAAGGCCTCCCTGCCCAGTCCTTTGAGCTGCAGGGCCCTGGGCTGCCTCTATAGTGCCCATTACTCAGCCTGGGGCGGGGTGGGGTCCGTTATTGACCCAGTTCCTGCTATTTGGGTCTCTCCAAGGCAAGCCCCCTGTGACTTCATCCTGCCCGAACCCCAGAGCCAGACCCAGAGAAGCCAGGCCAGGAAATGCCTGGGATGGGAGTGGCTACCCCTGCCCTTCCCTTCACACCCGGAAGCCGGGACCACACTTCCAGGGGCTCACAGCAGATGGGGACCCAGTAGGGCATCCCCACTCCTTCCCAGGCACACACCCGGCACTCCCTCAGGGACCCCAAAGGCTGGTGAGGAGGGTCCCATCTGAGGAGGGCTCTGAGGGCTCTGGATGGCAGGCAGTGCCTGAGGCATCGTGACCAGGGCAGGCTGGAGCCCTGGGATGGCTCCCTGTGGCCCCGGGGCGTGTGCAGCAGAGCTCTGCTCTCTCTCTGAGTCTTCAGTGAGTCCCCACTTGCTCCAGAAGGCTCTGCTCTCACAGGCTGGGCCCCTGCACCCGCTGGGGGCAGCCCAGGACCCCCATTCTGCTCAAGAACGAGTCCCTCCCTTCCACCAGAGCAACTCCACTGGGAGTATTAACTGCCCCCACTCTACAAGTGGGGAAACTGAGGCTCAGACAGGGACAGAAGCACCAGCAGGAGGGGGCCAGAGTTTCTCTGACCCAGACAAAGAGGTCCCTGTCCCCCACGGTGCTTGGGATGTCATCCAAGCCTGTCACCCGCTTCTTAAAACCCTCCCCCGGTTCCCCGGGGCACTTAACCAGGGGATACCCCTTTGGTGGCCCCCCCACCCTCCGGGCCTCCCTGCTCCCGCCCGCCCCACTGGGTAGGCAGGTGAGTCTGGGTTCAGAAACCCCAGACTTTGGCCCCTGAGGGCTGGAGTCTGTTTTCCTCACGGCTGTGCCCCCAGTGACACAAACCATGTGATGACACATAGTAGGTGCTCAACCAACACTTGTCACACAATCCAAGGTCAGGGGATTCGTGAGGGGATGTGCTCCCGCCACCAAGTGGGGAAACTGAGGCTGGCCACACAACAGAGTGACATTGGGGAGGGGGTCAGGACCCCAGGGGCAGGAGCTGGGCACCAAGGCAGGGACAGGCCAGGCTGGGGGCTAAGGACCCTTCCATCACCCCAACACCCCCAGCACAGCCCTGCTCCCAGGCCGCTGCCCAGCTCCCTAAGGGTCTGCTTCCCCAAGGTCTCTCAGCGGGGAGTACTCACCGCCCTTGTCCGTCGGCGGCTGCAGGGAGTAGAGGACCCCTTGAGGGCTGTTTGGAGGGGAGCCCGGGCTGCCTGCTGGGCCGGGGGGGCCAGGGGGCCCAGGGCGCCCCGTCTCTCCAGGAAGCCCGCGGGGCCCTGGTGGCCCCAAGTGGCCTGCAGTGGGAAAAGAGGAACCCCGTGAGGGCCGGGCCTGGCGACAGACACTGCAGATGGCAAACAGGTCAGCAGTGGCTGCCAGACTAGCCTCCCTGGGGGGCTGTCCTGGGATGTGAGTGAATGTGGCTTTCCCTTCGGGCCTGGGGAGCACTGGGGCTGCTGGGCGGGAGGTGAGGGAGGTAGGCTGGCCCCCTCCAGGGGCCTCAGCTCTGGGGTTGGGGCACCGAGAGTGCCAGCCAAGCCAGGCCAGCCCTACACCTACCGTCACAGGACCTGTATCTTCCCTGCAAGACCCAGGAGGAGATGGGGGGGTGGTTCTCTGGAGGGGTTTAAATGGCTAAGAAGGGTCCCCAGGCCTCAGCTGCCCCACCCCCCTTGCCTGTACCCCCCAACTCCCAGAGCCTTTTGTTCTTCCTGCCGCCCAGGGTCAGACCAGACCCTAAAACCTTTGGGATGGGGTGGCAGTGATGGGGGTGGCAGTGGGGAGGAAGTAAGCCCAGAGCTGCCCAGGACAGCAGTCACTGACCCCAGCAAGATCAGGGCTTATGGGATGCCTCACCTGCTCAGATAGGGGAGGAACCCCAACCCCGTCCCCCAGCGGACAAAGTCAGATCCGGAGGGTCCTTACCAGGAGGCCCTGCTGGGCCCTTCTCTCCTGCCTGGCCCCGGTCACCTTTGGAGCCTGGGGGACCTGCAGGCCCTGGCGGTCCCGTCTGCCCCGGGGGCCCTGGGGAGAGAATGAGATGAGCTCTGAGGACGTTGGGGGCCAAGCCACCAGGCCTGACCCCCTGGGCCATTTCCCAGGAGCAGAGACCTCATTACAGTCTAAGAACCATGTTGTACCTATTAACTCTTACGATCTCCGCAGCTACTTGTGTTCCCATTTCACAGGTGGGAAAACTGAGGCTCAGGAAGGTGTGGTCCCTTGTTCAAGGACCCAGAGCCAGGCTGCTGCTGAGTTAGGCCCCTCCCTCCAGAGTCCTACTGTCTCCCAGCTCAGGGTTGGGAACAGTGCCTATGGTAAAGAGCTCCCCAAAGAGGCCTCCTTGGAGACCCCAGGAAACCCTGCTCTCAGATTCCAGGGCGCACCCCGGGGTCACCATTTGTTGGGTTTGTGCTCCACCTGGTGGCCATTTCTTGGAACTGCACTTCTCCTTGCACAGAGAAAGTGACCCGGGAGACCCAGCACCCCTTCCAGCCTCCCCCACAGGGCATTTGGGTCCTGGGTCTTCCTCCTCCTCCGTTCCAGAAGAATGATTTGGAAGAAGGCAGGCAGGGGCAGCCGCCTGGGTGTGAAACCCTGGGAAGTGGGCCAGAGACCCAGAATGAGATGCTCCCCCCAACGCCTGAGCTCCCTCCTCCCCCCACAGCCTCCAGCCGCCCCCCCACCCCCACAGAAAATCACAGAGTGTCTGCTCCTCCCAGGACTGGCCACTGGGTGCTCCCACTGCTGGGGGCTGTGCCCTCCCTGCTCTGCTCCCTCTCCCGACTGGACAAGCAGAGGAGGTGAGGAGGGGACAGGGTGTGAGCTCAGAGTGGAGTCTGGAAGCTGGGGGCTCAGCTGTGAGAGAGGCCAGGGAGGGAGAGCGTCCCCTGCACAGGGCTCTCGTGGGACCAAGAATTATCGAGACCGTAGGCTCCTGGATCACGGGCTGACCCCAGGGGTCATTTCTCCAATCCTTGCTGGAACCCCAAGCATTACAAACTTACTGGAATGATTAGAGAGGATTTCTGTGCAGCTGAAGGTGATACAAAAGTATTTATGAACTAGCACAGCACGGACCAGAAGGTGGTGGGAGGCAGAAAGCTCCTGGTAAAACTGAGCCAGAAGGCTGGGGCTGGGCTGGGGGCCTGAGCGCAGGTTGGCTTCGGGGCAGGACAGGAGGACACACACCCAACTGCGGGACAACGTGGAAGGGTGAGGCCCTGTAACAGTCCGGATGGGGTCTGTGGGTGCAGAGCTCCAGCCAATGGTTTCCAAGGGGGGGGGGCTGAAGCCCCAGTGGCCAGAGCTTCTATGTTTCTAAGAGAAGTTTCTAGAACTCCTGATTTTCTTTCGAAAGCCTACAGTTTTGAAATGTTAGCTCCGTTTTTCAACGCTTGATCCCAATGGCCTCTGGGGCAGGCCTCACTCACCAGCTGGGCCCGTGGGCCTTCTCCTTCGGGGCCCTGGATGGGCAAGGGGGATGGCATCTGGGAGGAAGTCCTCATTCCAGGGTGGGACGGTGCTCGGGGGGACCGGCAGGTCATTGCCCGGGCCTGCGGGCTGCTCTGCGGCTTCCAGCAGGAGAACCTGGGCCAGGAAAGGGCAGAGGGTCAGGACCCCAGGCAGGCCAGAGACCGCTGTGCACTGGGGATGTGTGCCCCATGAGACCTGCAGCTACCCAAAGCCAGGTGTGGGTGATCACCAGCCCCTTGCTGGAATGTTCCCCCTACCTCTGCCCTCCTCTCGTTCCTGTGTCAGGAGAGACCTCGGACCCGGGGCTCCAGCAGGTTGTCACAGGGACACCTTCAAACTCCCTGTACTCTTCTTCTGGAGCGGTCATCACCATGAGGAGAGCCCTGTGGTCACCCCCCATCCCTGCCCCAGCTTCCCCCAAAGAAGGGACTGAAAAGATACCAATGTGCCTGGCTTGGGGCGTGGTTTTTAGTAGGAGCTCTGGGAAAACAAAAGGTGGCCACGTGGGGTCAGCGTGGAAAGCCGCCTTGTCTTCTCCCCTTGAGAGAGCTGGGGCATCAAAGCCTGGGAAGACCGAGGTCCTGGGCGGGAACACGGTCTCCCTGACGCAGGTAAGCTGGAAGTCAGGTCTCAGAGGCCCCCGTGAGTCCCTGCTGTTCCCCAAAGAGGTCAGCAGGGGGCGCTCTGCACCAGGGATCCGAGCAAGGCAGCCTGATGGGTGCGCAGACCCTGGGTAGGCCCACCCAGGCAGAGAGGAATCCCCGGGCCAGGTGGACAAGTGCTCCGGCCACTGCGAGTCCCTAGTCTTTGTGCTCTGCTGCCTGAAGGAGAGGAAGGCCGGTGTCTCAGGTTCCCGCCAGCTCTGGGGAGCCAGAACCCCCCCATCGGCTAGAGTCCCCGACTCCCCCGCCCCACATCCACAAGGGCCAGGCCTTGCATTTGGCCTCCCCCTGGCTTCTCCCAGGGTCCCTTGGCTTGCCCAGTGCTCCCATAGGACCTGGCTGCCCCCCCAAATCCACCTGCCTGCCCCCTTCCCCAGAGCAGGAGGTCAGAACTCCAAGCAAAGTGAACCCTGCGGAGCCCGCCCCAAACCACCAGCGTCCCCACACTCAGCGCGCCCTTCTGGACCTGCTCTGCTCCTCCTGGGGCTCAGTGGCTTTGCCCTACCCCTGGGTACACCCAGGGCCCCTCCCACCCTGAGACTTCCCCCCCCCCCCCACCAAGCCCCCCCCCTCATCCCTCCGCCCCCCCAGATCCTGCGGCTCCCCCCGCCCCCCCCCCCCCGCCCCGTCCCCAGCAGTCTGCCTGACCCTGTGGACTGAGGGTGTCCCCTCCTGGGTGTGCCCCCAGCCCCTGCACCATCGCCCGTGCACCCTCTCTCAGTGTTCCCATCTGCAGCGGGCCAGTGGGCCCCGTGAGGCTCCAGCGACCTCCCCCAGCGCCACTTCTCTGAGCCCCTCCCCATTCTGGTCCTTACAAGCGCCCCCCACCCCGCCTGGGGGCAGGAAGGGTCACCGCAGCCACATCACAGGCAGAGGTGGAAATAGAGGCCCAGAGACCACTAGTGACTTGTCCAATGTCACCCAGCAAGTAGGCACTGGGACCAGTGTCCCATGCAGTGCCCCCCAGCCTCCCAGGGCTTCCCCAGCCCCAGGCTTGGCCCAGGTGGTAGAATCTGTTTCCCAAAGGCTCCCACCTGCCCCCGCAGAACCACGGACCCCAAGGAGGGTACAGGAACCCCTGCTCGCAGCCTGTGCCCAGACGTGGGCTGCTAGGGGACCCTCCCACCTGCAGAAGGCCTCGGGATGAGGGAGGATCTTTCACCCACTGGGGCTTCTCATGCTGGGGCCTCTGCACGGGCGTCTCCTACACGCCTGTGCCTCTGCCTATAAGATAGAGATGGCAGCCTGGCTGAGAGAGTGACACAGAGCTTCTCGCCTGTCCGGCACTCCACCTGTTCCCAAAGCCGGGTTCCACTGCCATGTTGTGTGAGGCCCCTTGACCGGGACCAGCACATTGCCCAGATAAGGAGGTAGGAGCTCGGACAAGACTCACCTAGCTGGGGGGGGTGGCGGTCCCACTGATGTCTGACTCCAAGGGACAGTCATCTGCAGCCCCCATCCAAAAGGGCATGCCCTCAGGGTCGGGCTTCCAGGGCAGGAGACAGGGCCCAAGGGGGAGGGAGGGTTTGCAAGGGCTGTGTGTGTGTGTCTGTGTGTCCATGCGTGTCTGCGAGGGCATCTGTGTGTCTCTGTGTATATGCATATATGTGCATGTGTGTGCATGTGTCTACGTGTGTGTGTATATGTGTGCATGTGTGTGTGTATCTGTGTGTCTGTGGGGCTGTGTGTGTGTGGATGGGTATGTGTCTGTGGGAAGACCTGCCTGTCAGGCTTTTCTGGGCAGGGGGCCCTACCTCTGGGCCTACTCTGTGGTCTTGCCACGGGGGTCTCTCAGCCCATGTCAGCGCTCTGTCCCCGCCAGACCTCCCCACTGGCAGGCCACGCTCCCGCCTGCCTCCCACACCCGGATGCTCTGTCCTGGGCCAGGCAGTCCCTAGTCCCAAGAGGTAAAGGTAGGGCAGCTTCGGCCCCCAGGCTTGTCTCTGCCAGAAGCCTGGGACATGAAGGAGAATGTGACTTGTCGCCGGTCAGGGCAGAGCCCACGGCCCCCATGGCACTGGCTTCTTCCTGCAGGGACCCGAGACCCTCCACCGGGGCCTTCTCCAGAGCCCAGGAGCAATTTTAGTCAATACGTGAGGCATGGGACATGAGGTGACAGGGGACACAGCCTGGGAGAAGTGTCTCCCACTGAGGGACGGTAGATACGGCCCTGTAGCTCTGACCCAGGCCTGCTCTGGGACACCTCAGAGGGACCAGAGGGGACAGAGTCGCCGGTGTCCATGAGGGTGACCCGCCCATCACCACCCCTGCACCTCACACAGCTTTCCCTTCTCTGACTTACTCCCTCCCTCCTCACCCCATTCTGCCTGGGGCTACCCCCCATAAATGACTCATCCTTTCTTCAGTCCTCCAGCCTTGGGGTGCCCTGCTGTGTCCCCTAATGTAGACAGAGCAAGAGCTGACAGGAGCCAGGAGCTCCTTCTCCATTGTCTGGGCCCCGCCGTGTGCCAGACAGGGAGAGAAAGGAGGAGCCAGAGTTGGGGAGAGTGGCTCCTTCCACCAAGGGGTCACCTTCTGGGCATCCAGCCCCCCAGTCACTGAGACATAGATCCAGATATGTGTCACATATGAGACACATATCCAGCCTGCTGTCCGAGACCTCCAGATTTCTTGCTTTACCCTCCCCAGGGGGCTGGCCCAGCCCAGAGAAGGCCACCCAGAGCCACGGAAGCCCCAGCAGCACCCAAGCCCTGGGACCAGGCTGCTCGGGCCTGCTGGACTCCCTAGGACTGGGCTGGTACCGACGTACAACCCTCGCACACACCCACCAGCTCCCAGAGCCAGGCCCCCCGGCCATCTGACCTTGGCCTCCAGCGTGGTTAGCCGCTCACTCATGTCACTGAGCCGGGTACAGTTCATGCATTCTGAAAGAGAAGGGTGAGAATGGAGTGTAGACGCTGGGGGTGAGAGCAGCCAGCTGCCAGGACAGCCTCTGGGCGGGCAGGCAGGGAGCTCTCCGATCAATTTGCCTGGAAAACTCCTACCCAGCCTTCAGGACCTCATCCTTATCCTTGGTGCCCCCTCCTCCAGGCAGCCCACCTGACCTCGGAGCACCCACAGCACATTATTCAGCAAAGTGTCCAAGCCAGCACCCCAGGTGCCCAGTCAGCCTGTGAATGCCATAAACGTAGGATCTTTGTCTATTTTGTTTACCCACAGATCTCAGTGCCTGGCCCAAAGGAGGGGCTCAAAAAAACCCAATAATTGATTACATAGGTGGTAAAGGGCATGCTCCCTGCCTTTGAGAACGTCAGTCTGGGGAGGGCGATGGGCAAATAGGTAGAGGCTGTAGGGGCTACACCAGGGCTGTAAGAATAAGATGTGCAAAAGGGCATCACAGGGGACAGCAATGCCAGTTTGGGGTGGGGGAGGTGGTGGTCAGGGAGGACATCCTGGAGGTGGGGGCGTCTAAGGTGAGGCCTGAGAGATGCACCATATAATAGCCTCGTGAGGAAAGAGGGCTGAGGCCCAGAGACAAGCAAGACCAGAGAAGGGTCTGGAATCAGTCTGGCGGAATCAGAGCAGACACAGCCCCCCCACCCCCCACTCCACACACACCCGGGACTGGAGCAGTGGGCCGGGACCTAACACTGGAGGGCTGGCAGGAGGGGCTCTGGGGCAAGGTCCTGAGGCCAGTGGGCAGCTCTCGCAGGCGCTGAAAGTCAAGGTCAGATCTGCATTTTGAAAAGCTCACTCTGGCAGCAGCGAGTTCCGTGAGCGTGTGTGGGAGGGATGGAAGCCGGAAGGCCAGTTAGGAGACTGGTAATGGTGAACCCCCCAGGCCCACATCTCCCTGGGCTATAATTATCTATTTATGTCTGTCTGCCCCAGGGACTGGAGCTGTTTAAAGAGGAAACAGACGTTCAAAGCTGTTCTCCAGAGCTTTTATTGCTGCAGAAGTCAAGGGATGCCTAAATCGCTCACTCGGTTCCAAGTCTGACCTTCCAGGAACCTCAGTCTGGGCCAAAGAGACACACTGAGGTGTGAGGGTAACTCGGCAGGTCCCAGTTGCTGTGCTGGGGCTGCCCATCAGTGGCCCCCGTGACCACAGTGAGGCCTGAAGCTTACCAGCGGCGTCCATACCTGCCCCCCACTACTGGCTTCCCCTGTCCCTTAAGAGGTCCCCCAACTTCATCTCAGAAAACAAATCCCCCATTAATGTCCTAAGTTACGGTGGTGATTCCTCTGCGAGACACGTAGGGGATGCCCAGGGGGCTTAGGACCAGGGTTCGGGCTGTGTCCTCCCCAGGGGTGGGGGGCCCAGCTTTGGGGCAGGGGTTGCTGACATGGGGCCGTCTGCTCGCCGGCCCCTGATTGGGTTTACAAGACGTGGGCTGCCCGAGGCTCCGCCCACCCCCATCTCCCTCCCCAGCTCCCCTGGACTGGGCCCAGTCAGTGGCTTATAAGCATTTTTTAAAAACAGAACTCTTTTCAATAAAGCCTTGTCCATAACCCCGATACATAAAACAGATTAGAGACCGAGGTACAAACACTGAAACTTCCAAACAACTAGGGGAATGTATACAGTTTCATGACTGGGGCAGGCGAGGACTTCACAAAGCATCGGGGAGAGAGGGGGCGGGTTTTCTGCTTAAAAAGGGGTTGGGGGAGGAGGGGGGACTGTACCCGTGTGTTTCTTCCTCGCTTCTCTCAGGAAAGGGTGGTGAAGAAAGAGAAGGGGATAAAAACCCGCCGAGGAAAGAGAAGGGCAGAGGAGAATTCTCAGCAGATGAGGCCAGTAACGCAGCCCGCAGCCCAGTCCAACCTGGGAAGAGGACATCAGAGCCTCCAGGCTCCCCTGAGGCCGGCCCAGCACCAGGCAGGAGAGGTGAGGGGTGCTCTCTGGGGACTGGGACATGACAGAGGGGACAGGCCCATGGGTGCCTACACTGAGAGAAACAGCGGGGTCTCCCAACGCGCCCCATCAACAAGGCCAAACCACAGACCTTCCTTCTCTCTAAAAACAGAGCTCAGGATTCCCGAGCCTTACAGGAAGCCTTTAATGGAAAGACAGAGATCGAAACAAGTGGGGTCCCACCTGTCCACTCACTACCCCAACCCCATCTATCTACCCACCCGTCCAATCATCACCTCCCCGAACTTTTACCCGCCTACTTTACCCTCCCCCCCCCCCCCCCCGCCCCCGGCACCTCCCCTACCACCCTCTCATCCCGAACATTCCTGAGGCATTTAGGGGACCCAAACAGAGCATTTCCAGGGTCTGAGGCCACAAACAGGACTCTCTGCAGGGGGGAAGTTCTGCAGAGGGAAGGGTGAGCCTCAGGCTCTCACAGGAACCTATTTCTGGAAAGTGTGCTGGGCCTGGGCCCAGTTTGCTCTGGCACTGGGCACCCCGCTTGGCCAGTGAGGTGAGGCTTGGCTGGCAGCAGGCACGGTGTGGAGGTTGGGGGGGGGGAGGGGGGTTCCAGTTCTCCAGCCACAGAGAGGCCTGGGAGGCCCAGCCAGCAGGCAGGGCTGAGGCTGCCAGCTCGGCCTCCCCATGCCACCTGCCTGGGCAAGCGCTGAGACCAGACGGGTTTTACAGTTCCCCTGGCTTTCTCTCATCGACAAGCAATTATATTATGTTTGTTTAAATTTTTCTAATGATTCATGGGCGCGGTGGGGACAGAGAAATGGTACCGAGGGTGCTGACTGGTACAGACCACGGACCAGGCACTGCCTGCTGGCTCTGGGCCTCGGTTTCCCCTCGCTAAGAGGAAGACTCTCACTTCCCGAGATTCGGAAGTTCCCATGATCCCGGCCCCCCTTCCCTAGCACACACGGGCCCACGAGCGCCCAGGGCCGCAGCACATTCCTGGTCTCTCGGATGCGGGAAAGCGTGCCTGGAACTCTTTGCCAATCTGTGCGTACCGAAGTGTGGGTGTTCCAGGCAAACTGGGGGTGGGGGTGTGAGAAAGAGGGAGGGACTCACCACTTGGTGCTGTCAGTAGAAAGAGAACTAAAAGGCCGCTAACTCACTGTGAGGCTGGAGAAGAGCTCATCTGACCTCTCTGCCCCTCAGTTTTCTCAGCTGTAGAAGGGGTCAGTACTGGATCAGCTCCAAGGGCCTCAGGACCCTGCTTCTGGTGCCCTTGCCCTCCAGCTCTCACCACTGGGCTCCGTCCCCCCACTGCAGGACGGTACACCTGCTAATCCAGCTGCCATCTGCCTTTGGCCAGCATGCCCACTGCTGATGGCTCTGTATCCAGCCTTCAGGACCCAGCTCCCAAGTGAGGCCGACCCCGCCCCCCAGGCCTGGGCCTGAAGGGGAGCCTTGCCAACTGCAGAGAAATTGAGAGGCCGAGTGAGTCTGCTGTGAGATGGGGGCCATAAGACCCAGGGGAGACCCAGGGCACACAGGTGGTCCCTGCCCCCAAATACTCAGCCCCCTCTGGGAGAGGCCTTGGAGATGGGTCCACAAGCAGGGAGCAGGTGCAGGGTGGATGTCCCCAGGGGGCCAAGCTAGAAGAGATCCTAAAATCCCCCTGGGAACCTTTGACTCCAGCCCAAACTCCTAAGCCCTATAGGAGAGCTCCAGGGAGGTCAGTGGGGTCAGATGCTGGGGGACAGGGGGCGAGGCTGGCTAGGTGTGTTCACAGGAGACACAGGAACGAGGTCTAAGTGACCTAAACCTAAGTGGCCTCAGTTTCCCCAATGTGACAAGAGCTGGGCTGGGCCTAAAACAGATAGGACTGGTACCTGTCTATCTTACTACACATGGCGTCAACCCTGCTCTACCCAAGTTCAGTCTGGGGCCACACATTCTTTTGGTGCCTCCCTCCCCCCAACTGGGGACTTGAAGGCCATGTAGGACCTTCCTCTACTGGTGAGACTTTGTTTATCTCACTCTCTGCTAGAAACTGCTGTCAGGGGGAAAAACTGCTTGCCTTGAGTAGGCCTGGGATTTCTTTTGCCTTGTCACTCAGACCTTGCCTCCAGCCAAGCCACACCCCCTCCAGCCAGGCCACACCCCTCTGGCTAAGTCACAGCCCCTCCAGCCAAAGAGAAATGTTTGGATGTACAGTGACTTTGGGACCAGTGCTAACTCCTGCAGCAAAGCCCATGAGAAGATGGGTCTGTCTGCCCATGGGGTTCAGCTCCCAGTGTCTGATATTAAATATGCATCAAGAGCCTCTAATGCAAAAGACAAAGACTGAAACAACAAATAGGAAAAAAGCAAGCTCAGAAAACAGAGACAATGAGTGGACAAAAAAAGACTTCAAAAAACCAGAGCGAAACTCTACTATCCTTAGAGCGATATGAGAAGATATTGCATCCTGAAAGAACAGGAGGTTATTTGCAAAGAACCCTCAAAACACAAAAACACATTTGTAGAAATGGAAGAAAAATAGTTGATGTAAAATATTCAGTCAAAGGATTAGAAGTTAAGGAAATTTTCTAGGAAGTTGCAAAAAACTGTGACAGTTGTAGAGAAGAGATAAGAAAATGAGGGGATCAATCCAGGTCTAACAACTAACTAACTGGAGAGTCCAGAAAAAGAGACCCGAGAAAATGGAGAGAAGTAAAGAAATGATCCCAAAAGATCACCTAAAACTGAAGGATATGAACTTTCAAACTGAAAGAACATGGAAAATGCCAGATGAAAAATAAAACAAAACAAAACTCACACCAAAAAGCACATTGTCATAAAAGTTCAGAATCCCAGAGAGAAAACCCTAAAAGCTTCTAAGATAAAATGAGACCTCCAGGAAATGTCCAGAATTAGTATGGCACTGAACTTCTGAACAGTAACAGTGGAAGCTGGGGAGATAGCGGTATTCTTTTGAGGAAGAGGGTATCTAGCTAAGATTCTATACCCAGCTCAACTATCCCTCAAGATTTGAGGGTATAATGAAGTATTTGT